GCCTGGCCGAGGGCTCATTTATAGATATCCGCTCCCTGGCTGCCAGGCCAGAGGGAAGTGGAAACAACAGTGCTGATGTGGTAGTTTAGGACCTTTTTTAGGAAGGAGCCTCTGCCACTCTTCCCCTTCCCCCAGTGCCCTGCCCTGACCTCTATCTTCTGGACATTTCCCCAGTGATCCTCAGAACAGTCCTGAAGTTGGGCCATTTGATGTCAGCATCTCCATTTAACAGATGAGAAGACTGAGGCCCAGGGAAGAGAAAGGGCTTGCTCCAAGTCCCACAGCAATGTTGTTACAGAGCTGGGACCAGAATTGAGGTCTTAAGGCTGAAACCTGGGGCTCTCCCCTTGTCTCCAAATTCAGATAGTTCTACAAAATGAAGAGTCCCCTATCTTGCCTGGTTTGCAAAACAGCTTGGGTTCTGCAAACAGCTTGGAGTTTCACAAGCAACATCAGACTCGACACAAGATTCAGGACTGTGCAAACATCATGGGACCCTGAAAGCTGCAGAGTTCTGTAAACTGTGCCAGGCTTTGCCACCAGTATGGGATTCTAAAAAGGCATCAAGCTTTGCAAGCTGTGTGTATCCACAGATGGTGTTGCAATCCACGCACATCCTGGGGCCCTGTGAAATGGACAGGGCTCAGCAAATACCATGATGGTAAGTGGCAATGGTGGGGTGCAAACCAGTTGGTTGAACCTCAAGCCTGGGCCACCCAAAAGGGAAACCTCACTGCCGGATTAGTCCAAGAGTTATCTGAAGGCCTGTTAGCCTAACTCCCAGAAGGCCCTGGAGATTGGACTCATCCTCTAATTCCAAAGCTGAATTCAGGAATATTGGACCTGGGTCAGCCTGGGGAGGCTGAAGAGATAAATGAAGGCTGCTCATGCCTGAGGTTACTGTATGTTCTGTACCCTGTGGGGTGTTGTGCATGGTTAAACTCAGAGATTTCACAATGAGCTTAGTCAGCCAAGCTGGTCCCAATATCATTCCATGTGCAGAGTTTCCGCAGCCTCTAGAGCCGCTGTGGGGGTAGTGAGCTTCCAGAAAGTTAAAAGGGACCTTTCCTTTCTCAACCACATGCCTGCAATTTGGAGTCTGGAAGGCTACACCTCTGCCAGTCTCTGTGAGGACTCACAGTGCCTGTCTGAAGGATTTAGAGAGGGAAAGCCAGTTTGGCTTTCTCAAAGAGGATTGGGGTCTGGTTTCCTATCAACTGAAGCCAATTGTTGACCCCTCCCTGGGCGGTGGTCCTGCATTCCCATTTCTGATCTCTTAGAGACTCATTCACACTACGAGTATCTGTCAAGGGCCTACTAAGTGCCAGACTGGTCTGTGATTGTTTCAGATACTCCCCACTTCCTCCTAGCATTCCTTATGCCACTAGGAACCAAGTGGGGCTCATGTTTATCTCTCTATTGTTGCACTCCAAAAGCTGGACTCCAATCTCACATCCCTGTAACATGCAAAGACTCTATTCTTGGAACTGGGTCGGGTTCACTTCTGTATCTTGGATTTGGGGAAACCCAGAGGTCTTCCTCAGAAAATGCAGCCTGGGCGGAAGAAAAAGCCTGGTTCCTAGCATCAGAGGTTCAAGGCCAGACCCCACCACCTCCTAGCCAGGTGACCTCTGAGTGGTTACTGAGACTTAATGCCTCATCTATAAAATGGGGGAATATATTCCTGGCCCGAAAGGTCATTAGGAGGGGCCAGTGGGGCCTCACGTGTGAAAGTGCTGAGCAAGGCGGAAGAGGCAAACCAGGTTCACTTTCCCTGCCCTGTTCTGAGTCCCGACTCTGCCACTCCCTTCTCTGAGCTCCGGGCCTCAGGCTTGGGTTCTTTCCCACACTGAACTTGCACGGCAGCCCTGTGAGTGAGGACTATCAGTCCTTCTTTACAGAGGAGGCAGCTGACGCTCAGAGAGGTGCAGGGACTTGCCTAAAGCCACTCGACCATGGAATGACAAAGCTGAGATAGGACTCAGGTCTGTCTGGCTCCTAGGCCTCCAACTCCAGTCTTTGGTCCAGAAAACTGGGAATTTCTTATATGCTCTTCTGCTCTCCAACCCCACCCTCCAGTGAGATGGCCATACTTTATGGAGCTGCTGCCATGATTCCCCATCTCCCAAGGGCTGGCCACTATGATTCCCAGTGGATGGGGTCCCTCCTTGCTCTGGATCTGTGGAGCTCAGAGAAGAGATAGGGGTTCAGTGAGAGAGGAGGAGAGCTTGAGGGAGACAGGGGTTCAGTGAAGGAGGACAGTGGGAGAAATAGCCTTATATGGGGCTCATGAAGTGTGAAAAAAGTTCTGTAACTGAGACAAGAGTTTGATGAGGGAGGAGGCTCAGAGTGAGTGCTGAGAGGAGACTGGAAAATCAGGACTGAGTGACCTCAGGGCTGGGAGGGGCCATCCACATTCCCTCCACCCCCCATCTCTCCACCACTAGTAGGAGAAAATATCCAAGGGAAATGCCACACCAAGAGGCTGGGAAGGAACAGGCTGAGGGGAGGCTCGTCAGCAGCCTCCTCCCATCAGCGGGGCTGGATCTAAACAAACCCAGCCTCCACAACTCTGGTCCTGGGCTGCCCCAGCCAGAAATCAGAGGAATTCAGAGAAAGTGACAGAGAGTAGGAACAAGTGACTAAGGGAGATTGACCCTTGGGGGGCAGGGTCAAGTCTGAGCAGGACTTCCTTACCCACCTGTAAGAGGGGGCTGCTGTCCAGCTTGGCCCAAGAAGCATCGGTCAACCCAGTGGCTGGAATCCGCACAGTGGTGCATCCCCACTGCAGCTCCCCAGCTGCTGTCTCCCGGAGCTCCCATAAGCTCTCACTGCCTCTCTCGTGCTAAAATCCAGTCCTGAGATTGGAACAGGGGCTGAAACTCACCGCCCCACTCCAGAAGTCATGGCACCCAGGATAGGTAAGTCTGGACAAAGTAAGAAAGGGGCATTGGTAGGGAGTCTGGGGGCCATGTTCCCAGGGTGAAGGGTGAGGCTATAGAGCTAACATATGTGCGCTGGGGTAGGGGGAGTAGGGGCTCCCATTTCCCTACATAGAGCCAGGCATATGGGCAGACCTGGTGAGGGTGTGTTGAATGAATGAATGAAAGACCAGAGAGGTAAGAAGGGTTGCTGTTTACTCAGCTGGAGACAGGGCAGCCAGTTTAACCTCCCTGCTGAGACAGAGAGACCGAAAGGGCAATGGAAGGGCAGGCCCCCTGTTACTCCCCATGCCCTATTCCCTCTCTGAAGCAGGCAAAGGTAGACAAAACAGACAAAAATAGAGACAGAAGTATATAGTTAGAGATCCAGCAAGTCCAGAGACACTTAGAGTCAGACAAAGACAGAGACAGAGGCCCGAGATGGCAGGAGAAGACAAAGATCAACAGGTGTCAGCTGCAGCGTGCGGAAGACAGGGGCTCTGGAAGAGACTGGAGAAGTAGAGAGAAGCGGGGACAGAGAGAGGGAAAACTGCCAACAGAGATCGGGAGAGAGCAGACTGCGGAAAGCTGAGAAGAGAAGCAGAATCAGAGAGAGACCTGCAGAGACCTTGGGCGTTGGGGTGGGGAGCAGGCGGGCGGGAAGGTGTCTTGAAACCTTGAGAAGAGATGTTGAGACCTGAGTGTGATGGAAGCACCGTTTGGAGAGGGCAGAGGTTCTGGGAACAGGAGCACCCAGTTTCTGGGGCAGGAAGAGGGAGGTGGAAGAAACAAAGGATCTTCAGACAGGGTGGCCCTCAGGCTGGACACCCTGTGGTGATCACCTCTGGCCTCCCTGCAGCTGTCTGTGTGCCTCACACCCACTCAGACGAGGCCTGACTTGCGTCCAGAGGGAGGAGGCGTGAGGGCTTCCTGGGTCGAGCGGGCAGACGCGGCTGTGTTGCAGCCCTGATTTGGGGCCTATGGTGTGGAAGGAAGGGTGGGGGTGGATGCTTCCTCTGAGGGCCTCACAGGAGAGATGACAATGAAGTCAGATCCAGGTGAGTTGGTTTGGAGATGGGCCACCAACAAACTAAATTCTCAGTCAGACTTGGCAAGCTGTGGGATCCTGGTGATCCTATGGGAATGGGAAGAAACTAGAGACTTTGGCTGTACTGCACCTGTCCCTCAATTGTTATTCTGATGCCAGCAGGGCTTGCTTCTGGAATGTTCTCTAGCTGGTCCTCCACTTCCCACACATACAGTGGGAGGCAGGCTGACCCCAGCAGCTGCCCACTGAGCCACCAGAAGCTACCTCTGGCCTCCCTTCCTGAGCCCTCATCTGACCTGAGACCAGGCTTCCCCCCTGCCCTCTTTCTGGTCTGAGGGTTGCGGGCAGGACAAAGAGCCTGGGAAAAGACCCACATCCAGCTTGCCCGAGGGAGAGGGGCCAGCAGTCCCAGCCAGGGGCAGACAGCAGAGAGAGGAACCAGGGTCAGAACTGGCCCTTAGTGAACCCTCACCACCAACTCACCATGTGCTTTTGGGTAACAGGCAGAGCGTCCTGGTCTGTGGGGGAGGTGCTTGAGAAAAATGATCTCTCCAGGCCATTCCTATTTTTGTGATTCAGAGAAACCACTTTCCCTTCTCTGCACCTTTGCTCAGCTTTCCCTCTACCCAAAGGAAGGCACCTGCCCACATCCTGTTATGGTAAAATCTGCATTGTTTCCTGACACTTCCAAATGCCACCTCTTCCAGGAAGCCTCCCCGACTGATCCTCCCGGTTGGAAGTAACCTCTCTCCCATATGCTGTTTGACCCTCCCTTTGCAGGGAGGTTCCTGGTGTTGTTTCTGTTGTTCTCCCCAGTCCTAGGTTCAAATGTGGGCCAACCCAGGGTAGGAGGTAGGGCAAGGGGAAGAACCAGGTTCACACTGCAGCTCTGCATCACTGGCCTGATGAGAGTGCACTCTCACCCTTGTTTTAATATGTGAGGAAACACATGCTCACAGAGGGTAAGTGACACGTCCAAGGTCACCCAGCAAGCAAGCAGCAGAGTTGGGGGCCAGAACCAGATCAGCCGGATGCCAAATCCCTTTCCCTTCTGTCCTCTCGCCTTTGGGGCTTCCTCTTCCCTCCACACACCCCACACTGGCGAGTCTCCACCCACCTTGGGCACTTCTCCACTGGCTCCAGACAAAGCAAGCTGTTGTCTGGGAGCTAGTGACTGCAGAGGGGGCAGGAGAGTTATTCCTCCCAGGCTGGGCCGTGCCCTCTGGGCCAGATCTCGGGCAGCTGGAAAACACATGGCAAGCTTGCTTAGACCCCACAATTGGGTGCCAGGTATCTTCTCCCCAGTCTGCGTCTGTCTCTCTCTGGGATTCACTTTCTCCATCTGTGTAGTCAATGGTAGGGGTTGGCTGAGGTGGTCACTTGGTCCCTTCCACTGCTGAGAAGCTCAGCTTTCTGTCTCTGGAGGGAAGAGGCCTCTTGTATGGAGCAGGGGCTTGGCTATCTCCAGGGTGCAAGTCTGGGCCCATCCACACCCTGGGGGTAGAAAAGAGATAAACTTGGCTCCTGCTACCCCTCCTGGGCTGCAGTCCAGAGCCCTAAGTGCTAATGTTTGGAGTAATGGAGAACAAGGCCCACCTCCCCAGCCTGGAGTTCCCTGGGAATGGGGTCTGACTTGATCCATTCCTGAGGCCCCAGAACCCCGCACAGGCTGGGCAGAGGTCAGGTATTGGGGAAGGTGCAGCCCGCAAGTTGTTTTTTTTCTTCCTCATGCTACCACCCCCACCCCCACCCCCATGACATTCCTTCCCTCCTCCAACCTGCTTTGAAAGCCTACTCTTGTTGGGGACTGGAGATTCATGATAAGGAGTGAGATGGGGCTACAGTGAGGCGCTTGGGAGTAAACGTAAGCACAGACAGAGATGAGCCAGGACTCATGGTTGGTGGACAGGGTATGGCCTGGGCCATTGACCATGTGTCTCTGAGCCTCAGGCCCTGTGTTCTAGGTCTAAGAAGGCCGGCCTGGATTCCCTGCAGGCTCAGGGCTCACCCTCCCTTCTCTGTGCCTTCATCTCTATTTTTAGGGTCATCTTGGGTCTAGATGGGGTAGTCAGGGTCAGAATCGGGAATAGAAAGTCCCAGCGCAGGGTCTGTGACCCAGCTTGGAAACCACCAGAAAAAAGCAACAGCTGGAGGCCTGCAGCATGTTATTGTCTTCCCAACAGACCACCCAAGGGTCCTGCTAGGAGGAATTTCCCAAAGATGAAAGCCAAGTCCAAAGCCTGAGACCTGACCCCGCTTCCTGTCTTTGATTCTAACCTCCCCCTGCCCCCACCGCACAGAAGTCCCATGGGGCCACATGGGGAATGAAGCCCTTTGGAGCCCCGTGCTGCAGCCCCTGCTTCCCCAGACCCCCACACTCCAGCCTTCTCTTCTCCCTCATTCAGTATAGCTCAATTCAACAATCATGTTTTTAAGCTGAGCCCTTGCAAGATGAGAAGTGGTTTTCTGAGAAGGTAGGACACCTTGGGAAGCCAGGCCGAGGGTATAACATGTGTGAAGGCAGAGAGGTGGAAAAGAACAGAATGAATTTGGGGAATGGCAGGCATCTATTGGAGTTACAGAAGAATGTTCACTAGGGTGGCCTTGCTCTCTGGGACGCTGAGGCGTCTGGACTCACGTGCTGCTGATGGGGTGGAAGGGTGGTTAACCATTGTTGAGGACCACAGTGTACCAGGCAGAATGGTCTCCTTTAATCTTACCAAAAATGCTGTGTGCCCAGAGAGGGTAGCTGAGGCTTAGAGAGGCTAAATAAACTGCCCAAGGTCATGGGTACAATGCAGCAAACAAATATTTGAACTCGAAGTCTTCTGACCCAGAGGGTTTCAACAGGGACCTGCTATAGTCCATCAGGACCCAGGAAAGGAGAGCCTCTGCCTGAGGATAGTCCACTGGCTTATCAGGTAGATAGGAGGGGGACATAAATGATGCAGGGGGGTGACATTCTAAATGGGCCTGGCATCCCAGAGAAAGGGCTGAGGGAACTGAACCAGGGGAGGGAGGGGAGGTGGAGGGAGAGGGAGTTGGTATGGGCTGCAGGAGCTAGGCGGGGGAGCCAGCAGGCCCAGGGAAATCTAGGAGGTAGGAAGGGCTGGAGGTGGGGTTGACTATGAGGCTGGCCTCCTCCTATCCCAACACATTCGGAGGGAGGTACCTGCCATCATTGTGACAGATGGATTGCCCAGTGTCTGCTGCTGTGAATATTTGCCTCCCAAGGCTCAGGCTGTGGGTGTGTGAGTGTTGGAGGTTGGTAGGTGTTCCAGAAACATCCGGACTCCTTTGTGACACTGCTCTATCACCTCAACCTTGGCATCTGAACGTGGTTCCAGCATTGGTTCCTCCTTTTGCTCTGTTTTCCTTAGTCTGGGCATATATGCGATGGGTCTTCTCACCTTCCAAGCCAAGTTTCCCACGTGTGGCTTTTCTTTCCTTCTCTCCACACATGCCTTCCAGATGGAGAGCCAGAGGACTGGCTTTGGCCCATGTCCTCTCATGGGCTCTCCTGGAGACCATGGGCCCCTAGGCCTCTTCCTCTGGGAGCGCCCCTACCAGCCCAGACATATATTTAAGGCTGAGCTCACCATTACCCTACAGTCCCACCTTCCATGGCAGTACACCCAGACCAAAAGCTGTACCTCTCCCCACTCCCCACTCCCCTGCCCCCAGGGCTCCTTGGCTTCCTGCACTCCCCACCCACCTGCTTTTCCAGCAAATCCTGTCCATCCCACCTCCCTGCTGTGGTTCATCAGCTCGTTGATCTGCATCCCTACAGCCCCTACCTGGCCCAGGCCCCACGACCATCTGCTCCCCTGCTCCTTACTCCTGCCTTCTCCCTGGTCCCGGCCCACAGCCTGACCTCTCCACTCTCCCCCAAATTGCACGGAGGTCTTCATAGGAGGCCAGATTATACTTCATCCCTGAGCCCGGAATGAAGCCCAATCCCTCCAGCTTGGCATTCAAGGGCAGTCATAGACTGACCACTCCAGCCTCACCTCACCACCTTGACCCCAGTGTTCCTGTCTTCCTGGACTATTTGTTTCCTGAGCATTCTTTGCACGTTCATACTTCTGCCCTTTACTCTGATGTTTCTTCCCTGAGGAAGCCTTCCAGAATGTTCCAAAGTAAGTTAGAGCCTCTTCACTATGTTTCTAAAGTCTTGGAACTCCTTATGTCACATAGTGAGCACGTGCTGTGATTCTGTGTTAGAATTTGCCCTGTCACCACACACACACACACACACACACACACACACAGACCCTCAGAGCTCCCTGAGAGCAGGGACCTAGGCTGCTTGCTTCCAAAACCCTGGCCACCTGTTTTGTGGAGCTGTCAGCATGTGTGGAACCTTTGTTCTTACTCCTAGAAGCAGCAGAGACCAGCTGTGTCCCCCACCGTGGTGACCCTGGGCAAGTCATGGCCTTTTCTGGTCTTTTGCCTCATCCTTCAAAGGGTTCACCCAGCCCTGGCTTCCTGTCCAGCAGCACTCCGCGGGCCCAGGGGTGCTGTGGGTCACAGACAGGGAAGCCCACGGGCGAGTGTAAAAGGTCCTGGAGCAAGCCAGTTGAGCTCAAAGAGGCTCTCACAGGGCAAATTGCCACATGAAAGGCCAGCATCTTAGACCAGCTGTTTCCATATGGGAAAATAGGCCCAATGTGGCCAGATCTGCTAATCTTTCAAGAAAAAACAAAAACTGGGAGTTTTGTGTGAAATTTCCTGACTTTTAAATGCTGGCAACTAACTTAAAAACACTCAGTGAGCCAGCATTGTTGCATTGTTAAAGCCAAATAAAAACAGCTAGGAGTCAGAAGCGCCTCCAAGCAGGACTGCCATCCACCGCACAACTCCAGAGGGCGTGCTTCACCTCACGGCGCACAGCTCACGCAGCTGCAGAGGGCCTTGTCCAGGGCCTCCGTGTTGTAACCACTGTCCTGTACTATCTCTCTGCCAGTTCCTCTGCCAGCCCAGGCAAAGTGTGTGTGGTGGTAGGTTTCCGGGAGAGGCTTCTCTCTTTTTGGAGTTTACGATATTTATTTTCTTGGCTGTGCTGGATCTTAGTTGCGGCACATGGGAAATCTTTGATCTTCATTGTAGCATGCGAGGTCTTTAGTTGCAGCATACAAACCCTTAGTGGGGAGCATGCAGGATTTAGCTTCCTGACCAGGGATCATTATCAGGAAATAAAAAAAAAAGGTCATGGAATGCAGCAGGTGATTACAGAGCACAGAGGGAAGACAAGAAGACAGCAGAGGGAGGCTTCCTGAGGGGTCTGTGTCTCTTCAGGGACCAGGAGGAGGTGAGAGAGTAATAACAAGAATGGGTGCCCCCCGGAGGACAGTAAGCTCTGAGGCCTGGTGACCAGGCCAGATAGCTCCCAGGTAAGTTTGGGGCAAACGCAGACAAAACTGACACTGTGTGTCATCCTGGAGTTAACAAAGGATGTTTCCTCCGTGATCCTCATGCAGGCTTGAGAGTTAAGGTTCATTATTTCTATTTTGCAGAGACTCAGAGAGGTCTAACTGCTGGCCCAAGACCATATTGGGTCTGAGTGATCCTAGGTCATGCTCTCTCTGCTGAGGGATAGGCTGGAATATTTTGGAGAGGAAGTGCCCTTTTCTTGTCCCTCCTTGGTCCGAGCCTTCCTGCTCCATCCTCAGGATGTGAGAACCCTCTCAGGCTCTCTTGGCATTCCTCAGCTCGTCCCTCCTCAAAGTTCAAATCTGGGCCTTTTTACGAGTCCCGAGCTTTCACCGCACCCAGGTCCCCTAGACTAGGGGCCATGTCCTTCTCGCCACATTTCTCTGTCCAGCCTTGAACTGACCAATGAACTAAGTGACTGATAAGCTAAAAAATCAGCTGGTAGAACTGTCCTCGTACAACCTCCTTTGGCAATTCACTGGAGGGAAGCCAGGCCAGAATCAGAAATGGCTACAGGGGGAGTGTTTTTCATAGGTTCTTAGGCCATCATTGGTAGCCACCATTTCACGGCTGCTGTTAGGGGCCCAAGAGTCAAACAGGTCTGAGCTCCAGTCTAGGCTTTGCTATTTACCAGTCCCGGCACCTGGACAGGCCCCTTCTCCTCTCTCTGCTCCAGTTTCCTCATTCATGGAGTCACAGCAGCTACCTCAATGGTTTGCTAGGCAGATGGGTGAGTGTGCCCAGCTCAGCACATAGGGTAGCCTCAAGGGGAGACAGTGAGCCTCTTCCATCAGTGGGTGACCATGAGCCGGAGAGCTGGGTCTCCTGCCGCTATCTCCTTGGCCCTTCCGGGTGGAAGTTTCTCCTGGTTCCCAGGTTCTAGATGCAGCAATGCTCTTGCTGTCCCAAAGCAATTATGGAGGCAGGTAGGGTGTTTATACCTGACAGCGAAGAAAACAATGCTCACTATCTATGTGTGCTGGCTCCCGTAGGTTAGTGACACAACCTGTTGATAAGATAAAGTCTGTTATTTACCAAGATAAGGGCCAACACACCTCTTGAAGTTTTGCAGTGTCTCAGAATGGGGAGGAAAGATCAATAGCATTGAGCAAGAATCATGATACAGCAGTCCAGGGTTTGTTGGCAGAAACATCAAGGTGAGGATTTCGCGGGTAGAGATTCAAAGAATCAGAGGTGCACACCCTGCTGACAGTTTTTCTTGAACAGTTGCTCCGTCTTTCTGGAAGTTTCTGTAATGAAAAATCAAGCAATTTTCTGGGGCTGCTCAGTCTAAGAAAAGTAAGAAGAAAATTGCTAATGAAGACAGTGGAGTAGCAAAGTCAAGTTAATGTCATTGGTAAGGTGTAGTTTGGGGCTTTTAGGGTCCTCGCTGAATGTGGAGGGAAGGTTCAGGTTCTCAGTAGGCGCTCTCGGCAGTGGGAAGTAGGGGTTGTCATCCCTGCGTTGAGGATGAGGATCCCAGCTGGAGGATAGAAACCTATGCAACTGTCTGCACAGCTATGAGTGTGCACGGTGGGAAGGAACCCAGGTCCTTGGGTCTTGTGGTTGACTGGGGCTTGAATGGGAGGGAGAGAGATAATCCAGAGATGGATGATGGTGGCACTGTCAGAGGAGCAGGTTCACGTGGAGGATCCAGCTGTGTGTGGAAGGGTTCAGTTGGGCCTGTAGCCTCAGAGGTGCTTGAAGATTTCAGGAGAGGGGAAGATTGGCCCTCAGGGGGCCTATGGTGTGTCAGGTCTAAGCCAGGCACCCAAGATGCCTTACCTCCCTGAGTAGAGGCTGTATCCTCACTTTACAGAGGAGACAAGCTAATCAGGGGCATGTCCATGCTCCACAGAGGACCGGTGGCTGGGCTGGGGTTCAGACCCAAGTCTGGGGACTTTGCAACCGTTGTGTGTGTCCGTGCTAAGTCGCTTCATTCGAGTCCAATGCTTTGTGATCTCCGTGGACTGTAGCCCGTCAGGCTTCTCTGTCCATTGGATTCTCCAGGCAAGAATACTAGAGGGGGTTTGCCATGCCCTTCTCCAGGGGATCTTCCCAACCCAGGGATCGAACGCATGTCTCTTACATCTCCTGCACTGGCAGGCGGGTTCTTTACCACTAGCGCCACCTGGGAAGCCCCTTGAAACCTACACTCAGTCCCATATCTGCCTGAGATTTGCTATTTATAGCTGGGAGGTGGCTGGAGGAGGCAGATCCCTGAGTCTTCGAAGAAAACAGAACAGGCAGAGAAAAGCAGCCCTTTCTGTCAGGCTGCTCTCTGAATCTCTGGCACTCATCTCCCAGACCTGGCCCTGGAGGGGGTTTGGCCATGGCCGGGACACTCTGCCTTGTAGACAGCTGAAGCGTCTGATTGAACTGAAGGTCTCTGGTTGACAGACTTTCAGGGCAACTTTCTGCTGACTTTCTGAGCAACTGCAGGACCGTGAGTGACCAACTGACACACCGTGAGTGACCAACTGACACACCTGGACAGACAAGCCTCCTAAAGGACAGTGGACTAGTAGACCAATGACTTCCCAGCTGACAGACATGAGTGTGCCTGTGTGCATGGCCAGCCATGTGACCCACCGACAGGCACACAGACCCCTTGCCTGCCAGCTCTGGGGCTGTAGGATGCTAGCCCTTGGAACCACCTGGCCTACCTGGGGCCCCCAAACCTGGCTGCCCCATTGGGAGAGGAAGAAGCTGTGATTTTCTCCTCGGGCCTGGCTGCCTGCCTCGCCCCTCATTCCTACAGGGCCCCCAGGCTCAGCTCAGGGGCACTCCCTCAGCTGCCCTCTCTCCTGCAGAGCTGGCCCTTCAAAAAACCTTCAAAGGATGGTAAGGACCTCCGAGACAGCAGGTGAGGTGGACCCTGGACTCAGGACTTTCCTTCCAGGGGAAGCTCTACCCTTTATCGGGGAGTCGGACTCTCTGCTGCCAGCCCCTCTATAGAGGACTCCAGCCCACAGGAAGGGCTCAAAGGGGGCTGACAGCCAGTCTGACCAGCCCTGTTCAGTGACCAACTGGCCACTCAACACACTGACTGGCAGCTTCTCTCAGAACCCAGGGGTACAGGGCCAGGGCTTCCCCTTCTCCCCCCAGAGGCTCATGCTACAGACTGTCACAGGAGGGTGGAAAGTTCTGAGCTGGTCCATTGACCTTTTGTCCCGTCTCTCACCCATGCTCTGGGCTTCTTTCAGAGCTGGGGATCCACATCAGTGACTTCTGCCCTCCCAACCTCAGCTCCCACCCCATCATCTGATTAGCCTGCCCCTTGGGGGGCAGGCACTGCTGCAGCCTTCCAGGGGGCCTGGCTAGGACCAGCTGGGCCAAGACAGAGAAGAATGTTGTGCCTCTACCCCTCATTAAATCTGTGCAAGTAGCGCAGAGCAGCATGAGGTTAACACCTGGGCTTGAGTTCTCAGTGTGAGCTAGCAGAGCGAGTAGCCTGTGAACCTTGGTGTCCCCAACAGAAGCACAGAGCTCATGAATGCACCAAAGGCATGGAGCTGTGGAGAGGCTTCAGGAGCACTTACCATGTTGGCCAAAAAGTTCATTCGGACTTGTTCATAAATGGATAGACTGAACTAACTTTTTGGCCAATTCACAGAACGTGCATGCAAGCCTTTACATAAATGGAAGCATGTAGCACAGTATTTATGTTATTATGGGTGACTGGGCTCTACTTGTGAGAAGAACTGAAGTTCCGAAATTGTCCTGTCAATCTCCTCTTATTGAGTTTGCTTGGAATCCCCTTACTTTCCCTTCCTCTTCAAAGTGATGTCCACGGAACATTACATCCACTTCCCTCACCTAGGTCAATCCTTCATCTCCTCTCTGTAAAGTGTCCTTTTACTTCAGTATCTCCTTGTTTTCTGAGTTTTCATACCCACCAAAGGGACTCCTTCCCAGCCACACATGCTTCCATTTCCTCAGCCAAATTACTCAAGCTTTTCCAAAGATATGGCCAATAAGCAATGAAAAGATGCTCAACATCATTAGTCATTAGGGAAATGCAAATCAAAACCACATGAGATATCATTTCACACCCATGAGAATGGCTGTAATTAAAGAGACAGACAATAAATATTAGTGAGAATGTGGAGAAATTGGAACAATCACATGGGTGTTAGATAGTGTTAGAAAACAGTTTGACAGTTCCTCCAAAAGTGAAATAGAGTTACCCTATGGATCAGGAATTCAACTCCTGGCTATATACTCAAGAGAACTGAGAAAATGTATCTACACAAAAGTTGGTATATGAATGAGTGTTCACCGGACCTGAAACAACCCAAATGTCCATCAACAGATAAATGGATAAACTAAATGTAATTGTATGTATTTATATATATATACATACACTGGAGTATTATTTCAGTCATTAAAAGGAATGGAGCACAGATACATGCTACAACATGGATAAGCCTTGAAATATTATGCTAAATAAAAGAAGCCAGTCACAAAATATCACATGTATGATTTCCTCTATGTGAATGCATTTGAAATATCCAGAATAAGCAAATTCAGAGAGCTAGAAAATAGATCAGTGGTTGCCAGGAGCTGGAGGGATAGAGGAATGGGGAATGACTGCTCATGGGTATGGGATTTCTTCTGAAAGCATAGATTTTATGGCATATGAATTATATCTCAGTTAAAAAAAATTCCTTAGGCTCCCAGGTACCTTGTGTAAGGAGCACAAAACCTTCACTGGTGGCAGTTGCAGGCTCCTTTATCCCTCTTGCTGAGTTGTTCTTGCAAGTCTAGAGATGTAGTGAAAGGGCCCACACCCCTTCTCTCAGTCAGGAGTGTCCTCAGGGCAGCTTTCAGGCTACATCAGGAGCTTGTTGAATGAGGGGAAATTCCTGCCAAGTTGAGAGACTTTTGAGACAATGGACAGGCTTCCGCAGGAAGCAGGGCCCCAGGAGGGGAGGAAAGTCCTAGAAGCCTGGGCTGCCTGAGGTACAGGTGGTTTTCCTCTAAACAGAGATGTGGAGTCTCCCAAGACTGGGCTTCCAGGATGCTCACTGAGATTAAACCTCAGGAAACCCTGAAAGATGCCTCTGAAAGGGCTGCAGTGAGAGGGAGACTGACGAGGTTACTGTGGTTACTGTGGGTCATGGGACCATGATTTGAGCATTGGACTGGTGAGTTCTGTGATTATATGCCATGTAGTGTCCTGTGGAAGTATTGCTATCTATTCCAAACTACCCCTAGGAAAACCCTTTATGCTCTGACTTTGGACCAAGCCTTGACCACACACAGGGCCCTAGACCTCTGATTCTAGACTAAGCCAGACAAACCCTGACCCAGAGTTAGCCTCCAGGAACACTGAATGTCTCACAGATACAGTCCCCAGGAGGGTAGGGCTATGCATTTCTACACTAGCGCCACAGCTCAAAGGCTGTGTGACGGCAGCAGCAGCTTCTCACTAGAAGGAAGCTTTATGCTGGGAATGGAATGAAGAGGTGAATAGGTGGTCCCGGTGGGATCTGGCCAGCTTAGGCACATGGAGCACACACATACCCTCTGAGGAAGGGCTCCTTCAGCTCCTGAGATGCAGGAAGGCTGTCGGTGCTTTGACTCAGATTCTCACCAACCAGAGAAACACCTTGGATTGCCTGGTCAGGGTCATTCTCTGAGATTACATCTCCACTCTCACCCCCTGGCTTTCTGTTCCACAGGGCCAGTTGGTGAGGAGCTCCAGGTGCCAGACAAGGACGCCAAGGCCATGGTGGGCACAGAAGACACACCTGGAGGCAAAGCCAGCCCAAATCCTCAAAATTTGCGGTCAAGTGTGTTCCACAGCATCAAGGTACCTCTCAGGACCTGGCAAGAGAAGGGTCATCTGAGCCTGGCAGAACAGGCTCTGCCACTTACAGGCCGTTAAATGCCAAGCAATTTCCCTGAGCCTCAGTTTCCTCATCTGTAGAATGGGTGACTGTGATCTCTAGAAGCACTTAGCTTGATTTCAGGCACATGTTCTCTCCTTCCAGAGAGGGTCTTCTGTGGGCACTGGGGGACCAGTCTTCTTGGCACCAATTTTTCTTGGGGGAAAGAGAAGGACCCCCAGGGGATCCTGAACCTGTGTGAATACTGGGAGTGCTGGCTCAACCAAGAGCAGCCCTAAACAACCAAATCTGTACCAGCACCTGCACGGTACCAGGCCCTATGCCAGGGGCCACTCCACACAATCTTATTTAGCTCTCACAGTAACCTGGGGAAGCAGGGGTGTCATCCTTGTTAAACCGATGAGGAAACCAAAACTCAGAACAAACATTCTATTTTTTAAGCTCCAGCATAAACACACTATTTTTAATTCTTTGAGACAAGTTTTTCTCTTAGGAATTTGACCAGGTTTTCAGGAGGGCTGCAGGCAAGCGGCGTGTTTGTGTGGGGCTGAGTGAGGTGAGAGTGTAGCTTGGGGGTTCGCTGTGTGCAGGTGGTCTCCCAGGGAAGTTCAGGCGAGGACTGGGTGGGGTGGGGTGAGGTGAGATCTGGGGAGCTTCCTGGGGACAGGAGGGCTTCTAGTCCAGCCTGGGAGACCTCTGGGGACAGAAGGGCTCCCACCATCCTTGGCCCCATGAAGACCCTACTCTCAGTCCTGTGAATTTCAAGTGTCCCCCAGACCCCCGGGGTGCCCAGGACAGCTTTTGTATTTTTTAGGGCTGTGAGAATCCATGCGCTACCCCAATAACACTTTCTCTCCTCTTGCCCCGGACTCTCCCTCCCTTCCTCTCTCTCCTCCGGCTCCTCCTGTATGTCTGTCTCCTCTGACTATGTTTCTCCATCTTGCGGCCTCCCTTTCTCTGTCCCTGTCTCTCTGCATCTTCCCCCATGACTGTCTCCACCTGCGGCCCCTCCGCCAGTTCTTCGTCCTGTGCCACAGCCTGCTGCAGCTGGCACAGCTCATGATGTCCGGCTACCTCAAGAGCTCCATCTCCACAGTGGAGAAGCGCTTCGGCCTCTCCAGTCAGACCTCAGGGCTACTGGCCGCCTTCAATGAGGTACTGGCCCTGGCAGCACAGCCACGGTGCGGGGGAGGCGGTGGGGAATTGAGGGAGATTCTCACCTTCTCTCCCCGTCCCTCACGGCCCTAATGGAAACCCTTCCCCCAGTGCCACGTGCAACCCCATCACAGCTCCTTCCGATCCCACCCTTGGTGGCGGGGAGGGGGGGTGGGCTTCTGCTGGGGTTCAGGGAGGATTTTAGAGCTAGGCAGTGTCCCCATTACCCTCACCTCCCCACCATTCTCCTTTTGGTTCCTTCACCTTTTCAGACACCTGACAATTGTCTGGCCCAGGAAGGAATCAGAGGAAGCCAACTCAACAGTAGGGAGAGAGGTTTAAATGAGATCAAAGGCAAAATTTTGGGACCTTAGGGTAGGGAAGGGAGGGGATGATATTAGGGCATGGAGTTGCCGCAGGATCCACAGGCCTCTGCCTCTGGGCTCACAGCCCAGCCACGAGGACAGGACTAGCTCCTCTGGGTGGATTTGGAGATCAGAGTCCAGCTGTGCGCAACCCCTCCCCCACCAGATGTTTTCTGCCTCGGAGAAGGCTGTTGTCCAAAGAACACTCTCTCCCCAGCCCTCAAGATTTCTTTGAAATTGTCTCCCCCTTGGGTGATATGTCACATTCCTCCCAACCCAAGGCCCATAGTCTCCACTCAGTCCCCAGACTCTCCTTATCACTCCACTCCCAGATGTCAGAGATGGGAAAAGAATGTCATTACTGTCATTATGCAGTTGTGGGACCTCGGAGAAGTCACTCCCTGATTCTAGGTCTCAATGTCCCATCTAAAAAATGGAGAGTGGCTGTCCCTCCCAGGATCAGTTCCCTCAAGGCCCCTCTGCTGATACTGCCCCACTCCATCAGCAAAGAACCAGGGTTCACAGGTTCTGCCCCACCCACAGTCACAACCAGGAAGCGGCGGAGGGGAGCACACACACCCCAACTTCTGACAGCAGAACCTGCCCTGCCCCGCCAGCTCTCCACACCCAGCCACGAGGACTGGACAAGCTCCTCTGGGTGGATACCAGAGGTGGTGGTGCCCCTCCAGCACCCACATCCAAGCATTTTAATTCTAAGGCTTGAAATACCAGCCTTAGTCCTGTGGCTTTAGACTTTTTTTGTGCTTAGTCGCTCTGTCGTGTCTGACTCTTTGTGACCACATGGACTGTAGCCTGCCAGGCTCCTCTATCCATGGGGATTCTCCAGCCAAGAATACTGAAGTGGGTTGCTATGCCCACCTCCAGGGGATCTTCCCAACCCAGGGATCAAACCCAGGTCTCCCGTACTGCATGTGGATTCTTTACCATCTGAGCCACCAGGGAAACACTAAACAGGATAGAAGTTCTGATTCTGGGTTAAGACACACGGGCATATCTACTCTGTGCTGTGCTGTGCTCAGTCGTGTCCAACTCTTTGTACTGTAGCCAGCCAGGCAACCCTGTCCATGGAACTTTCCAGGCAAGAATACTGGAGTGGGTTGCCATTTTCTCTTTTAAGGGATCTTCTTGATCTAGGGAATAGAACCAGGGTCTCCATGTCTCCTGCACTGGTAGGCAGATTCTATTCTACAGCGCCACCTGGGAAACCCAGGCTTCATTTATTTCTCATTCATGACGTCCCAGAAGCTCAAATCCCTGTCCTTGACTGTCCTACTACCCCATGTTTTAACATGGGACCCAACCCACATTCTAGAATGAAATTGAACTTTTAGCCCTGTCCTATTTGCTCTTATTTCTCTCCTCTATTGGAGCAGTAAGTAGAACACATCATAGGAGGACCCAGAATCTGTGTTTTTAACAGGGACCCGAATGATTCTTATTCAACCATTCTGCAGAAGGGAACACTGAGATTGGCAATTGAGACAAGGATGGCCCTCTGCTCTACTTTCATGGGTCCTCTCATCCCTTTGCAGGTGGGGAACACAGCCCTGATTGTGTTTGTGAGCTATTTCGGCAGCCGGGTACATCGGCCCCGCCTGATCGGGTGTGGAGCCATCCTTGTGACCCTGGCGGGCGTACTCATGACTGTCCCGCACTTCATCTCAGAGCCGTACCGCTACGACCACACCAGCCCTGGTAAGAACAGGAGGGGCTGGGCTAAGGGTGGACATGAGTTGCCACATTACTGTACCCAGGGTCCACCCCCAGGCTTCCAGCGGTCAAGATGGAACCAGCTTCCTAGAACACTACTAGTCCCCCACACCCCACCCCACTGCCTCCTTCAGCTTCAGCCTGGATGAGTCCTTCTGGCATCCTTGGGCAATGGTGTTAGGGGGGTAGTCCTGGGGCAGAAAGATGAGGCCCTCTGGGTTTCTCTTGGTGAGGGCCTGCTTGTATGTTGCTGCTTTTTTTTTTTTTGCCTTTTTTTTTTTTTTTTTTTTTTGAGGTGGAGGTGGATTTAGGCCCTGGCCTGTGTGGGTCCTCAAGAAATATTTGTGGAATAATACTAAGAGTATCACACACCACTTACTAAGTACCACTGTTCTAAGTATTTAATGTATACTGATGCATTTAATTTACACAAGAAGTCAAAGCATTGATGAAAGAATGAATGAGTGAAAGAACAAACAAAAACAAGAAAGAATTTTAGGCAGGAATAGTGAAGCCCCTGTTTAGCCCAGTGGGATTTTGTTGAGAGTCAACTTGACATATGGATGCCTGTCCCTTGGAGAAGGACTCAAGCAGCCTTCCCTGTCCCTTCCATCTCTCCACCCATTCACTCATCTACCCATCCATCCACCTACCCATCCTATCCATCTACCCATCCACGTACATAACCATCTACTCATCAGTTCATCCATCTACCTACCCACCTACCCATCCATCCACCTACCCATCCACCTACATATCTACCCATCTATTCATCCACCCATCTACCTATCCATCCACCTACTTATCCTCCCCTCCATTAACCCTTCTACCCTCTCCGCCCATCTATCTATCTGGTGGTCCACCCAAGAAAACATTAGTGCTTCTTACTTTGTGCTGGACCCTCTTGAGGGACTCAGTCCTTGCCCTCTGGGAGCTCCCAGTCTGGGAGAGAAAACAGAAACAAACAATACACCCCCTCCCCCCACCCAGTGTACCAGCTGTGTGAGGAAGGAAGAACTGGGCAGGAGAAGCCCAGGGAAGGAGCCCACAGCCGATCCTGGCATCATGGAAGGCTTCCCAGGGGAGGAGAGCTGTCAGAAAGCATCCTTTCTCCCTTGTCTTCCCATCAGCTCAGACCCCAGAGCTCCTACTCTGTGCCAGGCCCAGGGATGGAAAAAGCAGATACAACCAGCCCTAAGAAGCTCTGAGGGAGCGTGGGTTGGTGTGAGCATGGGCAGCTCTGCTGCAGACCAGAGTCCAGCACAGGACAGCCAGGGGGAGCCGGTAGAGACCTGAGTAGGCGATGGACCCTGGAGGCTGGAGTGAGCTGGAGGAGGTGGTGTCTGACTGTGATGTAGAAAGAAGGTAGAAGCAGCTGCTCAGGCAATGGCTGGGAAGTGGGGGAAGTCCCAGAAGAAAGCAGTGCGGTTACCTAGGCCTGAGCAGAGAACTGTCAAGAGGTCTGACTCAGATGTCAAAAATTTTCAGTTCAGTTCAGTTCAGTCACTCAGTCGTGTCCGACGCTTTGAGACCCCATGAACCGCAGCACACCAGGCCTCCCTGTCCATCACCAACTCCCGGAGACCACCGAAACCCATGTCCATTGTGTTGGTGATGCCATCCAACCATCTCATCCTCTGTCGTCCCCTTCTCCTCCTGCCCTCAATCTTTCCTAGCATCAGGGTCTTTTCAAATGAGTCAGCTCTCTGCATCAGGTGGCCAAAGTATTGGAGTTTCAGCTTCAACATCAGTCCCTCCAATGAACACCCAGGACTGATATCCTCTAGGATGGACTGGTTGGATCTCCTTGAAGTCCAAGGGACTCTCAAGAGTCTTTTCCAACACCACAGTTCAAGAGCATCAATTCTTCAGCGCTCAGCTTTCTTTATAGTCCAACTCTCACATCCATACATGACTACTGGAGAAACCATAGCCTTGACTAGATGGACCTTTGTTGGCAAAGTAATGTCTCTGCTTTTTAATATACTGTCTAGGTTGGTCATAACTTTCCTTCAAAGGAGCAAGCATCTTTTAATTTCATGGCTGCAATCACCATCTGCAGTGATTTTGGAGCCCAGAAAAATAAAGTTAGCCACTGTTTATACTGTTTCCCCATCCATTCGCCATGAAGTGATGGGACTGGATGCCATGATCTTAGTTTTCTGAGTGTTGAGCTTTAAGCCAACTTTTTCACTCTCTTCTTTTACTTACTCATATTTCCCCATCCAGAATTTTCACTTTAACAGAGCTTTTCCTGTGCAGGGTCGGATCACACACATTCTTCATCCTCACCGCCATACAACACCCTTCTGCTCCTTATGGAACCCCAGGCAAACTTCTTCTCCTGTCTGAGCCTCAGTCTCCACATCTGTCCACTGTGTGAACTGGACTTGGTGACTTCTAAGTACCCACCCTAAACTGACATAGAAGGCTATTTCATTCACTCATTCCTCATCATTATTAAGGTGGCTCAGATGGTAAAGAAACTGCCTGCAATGCAGGAGACCCAGGTTTGATTCCTGGGTTGGGAAGATCCTATGGAGAAGGAAATGGCAACCCACTCCAGTATTCTTGCCTGGAGAATTCCATGGACAGAGGAGCCTGGCAGCCGACAGTCCACGGGGTTACAAAGAGTCGGACACGACTAAGGAACTAACACACACACACAGCCTTCAAAAGATATGCTTGGGCTTCCCCGGTGGTGCTGATTGGTAAGAACCCACCTGCCAATACAGGAGACTTAAGAGACCTGGGTACAATCTCTGGGTCGGGAAGATCCCCTGGAGGAGGAAATGGCAACCCACTCCAATATTCTTGCCTGGAAAACCACCATGGACAGAGGAGCCTAGTGGGCTATATTCCATGGGGGTGCAAAGAGTCAGACATGATTGAGGCAACTTAGCATCCAGCACATTAATATTTATGTGCCAGGCCCTCTTCTGGGGACTCAGAGCTGGAAAAAGAGACAGATCCCTATAATCATTTTCATGTCTAGTAAGCACTGTGCACAGGCATCACTCACCACTCCAAATGCTTACAACCCTTTGAGCAGGTGTTATCATTATCCTATTTCATAAGTGAAGAAACTGAGTTTCAGAGAGGGAGGTTCTTCCTCAAGGCCCACAGCTAGAAGACATACCCTGATAGCCTGGCCCTAGAGCCTCTGCTCTGACCACTGAATTTTTCTGCTTGTAAGTTCCATATTTCTGTAGAAGGTCCATTCTAGGAGGCTTGTTCAACAGATGAGGAAATCGAGGCCAGAGGGGCTGAGGTCCTCTGCCAAAGTCTCACCCGTCCTTCAACCCAGGCCATCTGGTTGAGGGTCAAAGTCCTTGAGCTTGCTTCACATGGCTTTTTCCAGCCCTAGAGAGTGGGTGCACACGGCTCAGAGACCCAGCTCCCAGAAAGAACTTGGTCAGCCACAGAGAGGAGGCCACTTCTATACACACATTTGGGATAATAATAGTATGAGGGTCTTCTTAAGTTTGCTCACCAAATATTGGTGAGCTACAGGAAACAAATGTCTGGCACTAAATTAAGAAATTTCCCTTTATTGCACTCTACCTCTGTGTCCCGAGCTGACACGGAGCCCTTCCCAGAATGAAGGCCTAAGGGCTCCAGTGCTCTCCACAGCCCAGACCCAGCGCCCCTCCCTTGTCGGCCCCGCCTTCAGCCCTGGCATTGACCCTTAAACTCTGTGAACCAGCCATGCTGAACTTCGCAAAACCTTGGTTTTACATGTGCTGTGGCCTCTTTCTAGACCCCACCCCTGGCCACCACCTTCCCTTTCTGGAAAATCTTGTTCATTCTTTTCCGCCCAGTTCAAACCACCTCTTTCAGCGATCCTACCCCACCCTCACTCAAGACCCACTGTTGACATGGCACTTCCACATACCTCTGCTCAGAGAAGTGGCATAGGGTGATTTAAGAGCATGGACTCAGAACTGGACTGCCTGGGTTCCAATCCTGGCTCCACTCCTTGTTAGTTGCTGCCTGAGCATCAGTTTTCTCATCTGCAAAATGGGAGTAATGAGGGTACCCATCCCCTGGCTTTGTTATGGGGGTCAGAGAGATTCAGAAGAGTACCTCCCATCAGTAAGTGCTATATGAGTCTTAGCTATTGTCTTAATACTTTTATCATCTCTTAGCAGACATGCCACAAGACTTCAAGGCTTCCCTGTGCCTGCTCAGCACCAAGGCCCCAGCTTCAGCCTCGTCCAACAGCAGCTGCTCTAGCTACACAGAGGTTCGGCACCTGGCTGTGGTGGGGATCATGTTCACGGCCCAGACCCTGCTCGGCGTGGGTGGGGTGCCCATTCAGCCCTTTGGCATCTCCTACATCGATGACTTTGCCCACAACAGCAACTCGCCCCTCTACCTCGGTGAGAATCTGTCCCACCCCTCGGGCTCTCAAGGAGGGCCGGGCTCAGGTCGGGCTAAGTACGAATCCCTGCCTTATGCCCTCTGTGGCCACTAGAGGCCCAGAGGAGCCCTGGAGAGCTTTCCAAGGCCTGAGCAGGGGAGATGGGCTGCTCTTGTCCAGTGAAGGCTGAGCAGGCCCTGACCTGTGGAGGGAAACCGGGCCAGAAGGCACTAACCCAGGCTTCCTGTTGCAGGTATCCTGTTTGCAGTGACCATGATGGGGCCAGGCATAGCCTATGGGCTGGGCAGCCTCATGTTGCGCTTTTACGTGGACATTGATCGAATGCCAGAAGGTGAGCTTCGGAGCACACAGTTGTCCCCAGGGGCACACAGACACAGTTGACCAACTCCTGGTCTCATAGGAGATGCTGAACCAGAGGACCCAGCAACTCCACTGACCTGGGACATGCCTCTTAACCTCTCTGAACCTCAGCTTCCCCATCTTTGAGATACTCTCTTCTCTGCCCACCTCTCAAAGCTGCAATCAGAATGTAGTGAGAATGTGGCAATAAGCCACAAGTTGCTATCAGATGGAGAGTTGTAATTGTTGCCACTGTTGTTAGGAGTCTTCACCTAGTTCCACCCTGACTCCCCGCTACCCCAGGCCCTCAGCCCTCTGCTCAGATATACTACGGGGCAGACAGGGCCATGTATTCTCTTGGTCTCTGGGGTGCTCCCATCTTTATGGGGGACAGACTTCAGGACCCAGAGAGGACACTGGCATGATAGACAGAGAGTTTTGAAGCAGGACTCAGTACTTTGGGCCATCTCAGAGGGGAAATTTGGGGTGACCTCTAAGGACCCTTCTAGTTCTGACGACCTCAAAGCCTGGACACCTATGCTGAGGGGACCATTTGGGGAAAAGGGGTCTCTGATCCAGGTGGTGGTCAGGGTGGGCCAAGGTGTGGAACTGAAGCTTGGTCCGAAGATAGGAAGGGGGAGTGTTGGGGGTCTCAGAGCTCTGGCATTCTGTGGGGAGTGGGAGTGGATTGTTTCTAGAACAGGTCACTGTGGCATCTCAGCTGCCTGCTGGTCACACCAAGCAGCTCCGAGCCCCCAGCTCTGCCTTCTACATCCTGGAGATTTTCCAGCAGCCCTAGAAGCCTCAGGTGACACATGCACAAGAAGATGGACAGGCAGACTCTGTTTCTTGCTATCCAGATTTTGCCCAAGGGTACCTCTAGTCAGGATAGGTCTGGGCAGCTCTGAACAGGAGTCACTAGGGGTGGCCCTGCCCCAACCCCCTTCCTTCTAGAAACCTGGGCCCAGAAGCCCAGCATGGACTCTGGTTGCAATTCCATTCTCCCTTGATGAAACAGTCCTAAAAGTCAGGACTCAGATTCCCAGACACACCCCAGCTTCAGGAGAAGGGAGTATGTTTCTGGCTCTGTTGACATCATCCTGATGGTGCTGACACCTTCACAGGCAGACATGGCATTCCTGTACACTGTGAACCAAGGTACTGTCTCCCTATTCCTTCTTTCTCTCTGGGGGATTTCTTTGGTTGGGTGGGTCACATCCACTGCAAACCCAGACCAGTATGTGAGAAGCAGAAGATCTGAGATGGATGTGCGTGAATTCCCACCAGCCTGGAACAGAAGATAGGGGAATAATAAGTGGAGGAGGAAATTGCACAAAAGTCAACCCCACCCTCAGTTTTACAGATGTATTTGCTGAGTGCTGACTATGTCCTCTGGGCCTGGTTCCAGAGGCGCTCAGGACAAAGCATCTGGGAGCCAGCCCCACTCATGGGGTTGATGTCGTCATGCATCCGTACTGTTAGAAAGTGTTTGTAGGTGCTGTGGCAGTTGAGGAAGGAGGTACCTAACTCAGCCTTGGGGTCAAGAGGTCTGATGGCAGAGGTGGGCACTTCAGTCAAGAGGCACATCTGGGACTGTTGTTGTTGTTTAGTTGTTAGGTTGTGCCCAATTCTTTTGCAATCCCATGGATTGTTGCCCGCCAGGCTTGCCCGTCCATGGGATTTCCCAGGCAAGAATACTGGAGTTGTTTGCCATTTACTTCTCCAAGGGGATCTTCCCGACCCAGGGATCAAACCTGCATCTCCTGTGCCTCCTGCATTGGCAGGCAGATTCTTTACCCCTGAGCCACCAGGGAAGCCCATATCTGGGTTAATCTTGTCCTGATTATACCTAGATGGGGCTCAAAATCACCTGGGGAACTTGTTAATGGTACAGATACCTTGTCCACCTTTCCACCCCATCCTGTGGCAGTTCTAAGTTGATCTTGGAAAAGGCTGAGTATTTTTGATAAGCACCCCTTGTGATTTTAACCATCATGCAGGTCTGAGAACCCCGAGTCATCCTAGCCATCAGTTTAATAATAACAATCACAAAAGTAACAGTAAACAAAGACCAAACACTGTGTGGACATCCATGTGCCAGCATGATTCTAAGTGCTCTACACATACTAGTTTCTATGATTCTCACATCGGCCTTATGATGTAGGTACTACTAGCATCTAGCCTTTACAGGGGAAGAAACCAAGGCACAAAGAGGTTAAGTAACTTGCCCAAGGTCACGCCATTTCCAAAGTCCATGACCTTAACCATGACACACACTGCCATAAAGTTGAGAAAGTCAAGGCCCAGGAAGGGTCAGGGACATGCCCAAGGTCACACAAGACACAACTGGCAGAGCCACAGCTGATACCCAGACCTCCTAACCCCAGCCCAGGTCGCATCCTACCTCAGAGACTGGTCCGAGGGTGGTGGCCAAGAAGCTACAGCCCATCCCGACCCTAACACCTTCTCTTCCAGGTGGCATCAACCTGACCTCGAAGGACCCCCGATGGGTGGGTGCCTGGTGGCTGGGCTTCCTCATCTCGGCTGGTGCGGTGGCCCTGGCCGCCATCCCCTACTTCTTCTTCCCCAAGGAGATGCCCAAGGAGAAGCAAGAGCTTCGCTTCCGGCGAAAGGGCTTGGCAGTTTCAGACCCACCTGTCAGCAAGGTAAGCCCTCTCCGTGCCCCACCCTAACCTAAGCTCCAACCCCCACACACTTGTCCTCCTGTATAACCTTCAACTCCATTCTCCTGGGCACAGCACGTCATAGCTTCCAAAGCCATCTCCATAGAGCTCTGTTACATTCCCTGGCATTCCTGCATGGTGCGTCTTCTCTGCCCCTTCCGCAGCTGAGGGGATCGAGGGCCAGAGCCGGAAGTGACCCACCCAAGGTCACAGTGTCTGGCCCACCAGGACACTGCTGGAACCAGAACCCAAAGCCTGTCTGAACCCACTCCCCTTGCTCTAACCTACTGCCTACTGCCTCTCTGCTTGTCGCTGAATGTGTTTAGTAGATTGTGAACATGCTACAGCAGTGTTGAGAACTGGGAGGAGGTGGAGGGTTTACAGGAGGGTCTAGGTAGACTTCTCTGAAGAGAGGGGGATTCCACTGGACTTTGAAGCCTGTGTGGAAGCATGGCAAAGAGGGGGAGGGCCATTCTAGCTGGGAAACAGCCTGGACAAAGGACTTGGCTGTAGAAATTACCATGGCCTTTTCAGGGACAGTGAGGGGACAAACAGGTGTTGAGTGCCTGGCTGGGGACCAGGCATCAGGCTGGAGCCTGGGGCTCAGCATGTGAGCCCCACCCTTAAAACGGGCATAGCCTAGTGAGGACAAAGTCTCTTTGATAAGTAACAACTGGCTGGGTGCTACAAGAGGATCTCACTGAACCATTCTGCTCAGCTCATGGGGCAGGTGGTCTCTCCTCAGTAGACTGTACTGAGGCCCAGAAGGTGCAGGGATGTGTTCAAGATCACATGTGACAGGAGAAGGCAGGACTATGTGAAGCCACTGGACAGGAGAGAAGATTTTGGGCTAGGGTTCTCTAAGTTTTCCAGGGACCCACAAAAACATGAGGCCTGAGAAATAATACATTGGCTCTAAAATACAAAAGAAAAATGACAAAATGGAAATGTCTTATAAAAGCTCAATTATATGTCATTGGAGTCAGCTTCATTCACTTTTCTTTAATACTCATACATGTTTCATTATATTCACCACTCATTATATTCTGAAAATTTGTGCGTTAGATTTTCTCTTTTCCCAAGTCTGGGTGTATAAAGACAAATACTCCTATTTCACATTTACACCTCACCCCCCACCCCCCCCACACAAACACATAAACAATACTTCAGTGACCAGATGTATGGGGCTGTTCCCACGCTGATCAATTCCCTGCAACATCCACTGGGTGTCCTACAACCTAACTCCATCCTGACTCTGTCTACCTGGAGACAGTATCAGATGCCACAGGGTAAGGCTCACTCCCACAAGACTGCCCCTGCTGCAGACGCTGATCACAAGTAGGAGGCCCCCAAGTCACCTTCAACTTCTGTCTGACTTGGCTACAAATCAGAGTTTCCCACAATGCCCTCCTTGGATTTGATTATTTGCTGGAATGGCTAACAGAACTCAGGGAAACACTTGTTTACCAGTTTATTACATAATAAAGGATATGATAAATGATACAGATAAACAGCCAGATAAAGAGATGCCTAGGGCGAGGTCTAGCACAGGCGCTCTGTCCCTGTGGAGTCCAGGTGCATCGCGTACCCGGCACGTGGCTGTGTTCACCAACCTGGAAACTCCCGGAACCCTATACTGTTGGAATTTTTATACAGGCTTCATCATGTCCCCTCTCTGCAGAATTCGGTTGCAGTGGTGGGCTGAAAGTTCCAAGCTTCCAATCATGGCTTGGTCTTTCTGGTGACCAGCCCTAACCTGGAGCCCAGTGGAGTCACCTCATTAAAACAAACAATGCTCCTATCACCAGGAAATGCCAAGGGATTTAGGGGCTCGGTATCAGATCCTCTTACCACTCAGGAAATTACAAAGCTCTTAGGAGCTCTGGGTCAGGAACCGGGATCAAAGGCTAAATATTAGAACAAAAGATTTTCCTAGCACCCTTATTTACAGGAGTTTTTGGATCTCTGTGCCAGGATTTTGAGAAACCACAAACAATCATAAATTAAGGAAGTTAGTTGTTGCTAAGTAATTCTAATTTCAAAGGGACAATTTATAAAAATCCTGTCAAATATTTTGCAGCAAGAATAATTCAATTTAATGTTGCAGGTTGGTGCATTTGAATACATTTGCCATAATGTGAGATAGTGTCTCCTTCTTAGAACAAGAAAGTCTGGGCTTAAGACAAAGGGCTGAAAATGTCTCTGCCGGAGAAGCTGAGACTCAATCCCCGAATCAGTCTGATATGGCACCTGCACCACTCTGTTGCCCACTCGCTGCTGCAGCAAAGGGTGTATACGAGAGGCTGGGGGACTAAAGAAAATTGATGTCGGGACAGCCAGCAGGGGCCAGAATAATGAAAGCCTTGCCTGCCAGCTTCAGGAGCAGCGGGTAGCCCTGGAGGGAGTCCTGTGGCTTTATCACCAGCTGCTAGCACAGAAAGGATTGGAAGGCAATCTAAGGTGTGCAGAGAGCAGCTGGGGCAGGAAGACTGGTGTGAAAGCTATGGCGTTGGTCCAGGCAGGAACCGGTGCACTGGCAGTAAGGCAGGGCATGGGGATGCGTCCAAAGAACCACGCAGGAGGGGAAACACATAGACCTGTATCCTGCTCTGCTATGGGTCAGTCATCCCAGAGACAGTGAAGGACTGATGCTGGCTCAGAGGCAGGGGGAGGCAGGCGTTGGAGAGAGATCAGTTTCAGGGAAAGGAAGAAGACAACTTGGAACCACAGATGGTCCTTCCCGCTTCTGCCTAGCTCGGGCCAAAATATGAATGAGATGGAATTCCTGGAACTTGCAGAAGAGTTCTTAGAAGCAGGGATGATCACAGATCAAGGGAAGATACTGGTTACCAGTTATGGGTAATCTCCCAGTTGGGTACTAAATCTGAACAGAGAAGTGCTACTTGGGCCATGGAGTGGAAGAAGCAAGGCTGAGACTAGGCTAGGCTGGGCTCAGTCATATGTCCTTGCTCAGTCATGTGACTTTGAGCAAGTCACTTCCCCATTTTGTTCTATTGTGTAAGACCCTGGGTTTAGATTCCTGAAGCAATGTCCTGTGTGCCTCGGATTCTGAGAATACACAATTCCTTGAGTCAAAGCTGCTGTGATGCAGAGATTCTCATTTTAAGAGCTGTGTCTCTGTGATGCCTTGAAACCCTGGCTCCCAGGCTGTGAACCTGTCTGACTGTCTGGATTCATTCGTCAGCACATGGGGGATGGGGAGTGGGAAGGGAAGGGGGTGAGAGGTTCTGAAAAAAGAACCGAAGGCCGAGAACATGATGATCTGCTTTCAGCAGCTCTCAGGTAATAAATATTGAAGTGGGAGGAACTGTTCCCCTGCCTGCTGAGGCTGCCTCGGCTTGCAGTTGCTTGGACTGGCCCAGTCTGCTCAGGCGACTGATGAGATGGATAGACCAGGAGGAAGGGCCCAATTAGGTGAAAGTCCAGGTGTTTCGACAATGTTGTGTATCTTTTGCAGAGAGTAGAAACAGGCAAGAGAAAATGAAGGGTCAGGCTGGAGGCTATTTCTGAAGTCCCTTCAAGCACCCCCTCACAGGGGTTCTCTAAATACCTTCCTAGAAGTAATTGCAGCTTTTACTGGTGTCCAGGAGATGGTGGTATATAATAGAAAGGATTGTATGACCCAGAGAAGGTCTCTGGCCTCAGTCTCTCTGTTCATGCAATAGGCAGAAGACTGAACCAAGTCTGCTAGCTCTGGGAGGTTTGCTAGTGTCTCCTCTAAATGGCTGCCTGTCTCTGGGGCAGTAACATGAGTACTTTCACAGGGGGACAGTGGGGTGCATCCCACAGCCCCTGCCCCAGGGAGCTCTCAGGTTGTGAAAGAAGGCCAGGTGCAGAGAGATGGAAGATGACGGAAACACAGCTGAGGTCTGAATGACAGAGTTCTCTGCCAGGGCGCAGGGGATTAACAGTCTCCACAGAGAAGACTATCAGGTGGGGGGTGGGGGAGGCCATACCCGTGCAGGAAGGTCAGGAGCCCAGCTTCCCTCCCTTTGGCTCTGTCCATGTGTCTGGGACCTCAGAGCTCGGGTGGCTACACAGACATCTTTCTAGAAGGGAACCAGGGTAGGCCTCACCTCTCTCAGGCCTCTGTCTTCAATTAGCCAGTTTCTAAGGTCCCGTCAAAGGCTCAGGGCTCCTAGCAGATGGCTCTACAGGGCCCATGTAGTAAAGATGGTCTCCTAGGTACACCCTAGCAGATCATCCAGCCCCATCTGGGCGGTGGCTATAGGATCCCATTCAGCCAGCAGCCCTCTTTGCTCTCCAGGCCCTTTGGCCCTTCTGAGCTGCCCATGGTCCTGGGCCAGGGACTGAAATCAGATCCCCTGGGGACTCAGGTCCGCACCCAGCCTCTGAGCACCGCTGGCCTCTGTCATATTTCCCAGGAGCCTCCATGTCTATTATTTTAGGGTATTTCCCAGAGTCTGGGATTCTAATATTATCTGGTTTTAAGGTTCTAAGTTTATACCAGTTGTAGGTTCTTAAGTATTTGTGTTCTACTACTTTAAGATTCTATGCCTCAAATGCTGTGTGACTTCCAAAATTCACTTTTCCAAGTAGCTACAGTTTTGGCCTAAGACTTGGTGCTCCCTCTTGTAGCCCCTGCTAGATGCTGGGTGACAAGGTCTTCCCTGTGCCCAATGTCTCTCCTTAGCTGGCACTGCCTCCAGAATCCTCCCAGTGGGTTTAGGAGTCCTTCCCCTTCCCAAGTGACCCAGCTCTTGTGACTCCATCCTCACCCCACCTCACCCAGTTCAACCATCACTCCAACTTACAGACAGAGGGATTGGGTCAAGATTGTGTCCAAAGGTTGGCCAGCGGCACTTCCCCCTGCACCAGTCTGTAAAAGGTCAGGGCTTGGCCCCAAAGGGCTGAAGAGAGGCTTCTTCTCCCTGGCCTGATATAGAGCCGAGCTTCCTCAGTCACTGGGTGTGAAAGGTCCCTTGGGGTGATCTGCTCTG